ACCCACTGCCACAGGGGCTGCAGCCTACGCCATCGCCAGTGACTCACGGCAGCCCAGCTCCAGGTTGAGCTGTTGTTCAGCATCTTAGCTGTAGAAGGCAGTGTCACTGACCCTCATATGTGGGATCCGAACCAGGGCCCTCTGGCGTCCCAAGCCAGTTCTCAACCATTGCGCCACTCGGCTGGCCCCCAACTGCCTTTTAGACTTAACTACTTGAGTGTTTCCAGTGCACCTTTAAGTTGACATGTCAATACTAAACTCATAAACTTTCTTACCTTATAGATTGTGATCTTAAATTATGTCATAACCAGCTAGCTTCTCATTTGCTTAAGGCAGAAAGTGCTGGAGACGCTCCTATATTTTCTTACCTGTCAGTAACATAATTGGGATGGTGGAGGGTGGTTAACTTCTTAAACATGTTATATCTTCAGATATTATACTTATTTCTCGCTCTCTATTTTTCTTTAATCCTTACTACTACTATTTTGGTTCACGCCCTTAATGTCCTTCTCCTGGTCTATGTGTGGTCCTTTGCCTCATCACCTAATTTACTAGTCCTGATATCTATCAGTCATGTCCTTCAGATAGTTGTCTGCAATACCCCAGGTTGTCCTAAATTTCTCTGTCCAGCTATCTCATGTAATGCTGTAAGACCTGTCTTATCACATATTATATTGGAAATTACATTTAAGCTGTTAGCTTTTTGAGGGTAAGGAACTATGTTGCCTTCTATATTTTTATCCCTAGTGCCTAACACTGGGCTTGGCACATGGTGTATGATTTATCAATGCTTTTGGAACTGAACCATTAATTATTCTAAAGAGATTTCTATAAGTTATAACTACATTAAGAGATGATATTAAAATGCTTAATAATTGATATTGCATGAAAACTGACCAATACGAACAGTTGCCAGACATAAACTATTTGATAGAGCTGAATATAGGCTTTTGAGTGTGTTGATGTTCCGTATTATAACAAATAATCTTGGGTTTGAATATGTTTCTTGTGTTTTTTAACCTAGGGATTATCAGTGAATGTAAAAGGAATTTATGGCTTAGGAGCTTGAATAAAATTTTTTTAGAGTAAATTCTTCTGTCTGCCTTGTAACCTTGTTATTTTGTCATTGTTCTCTTTTCCTTCCCAACGCTTTGTTTTCACCTTTCTTTTTCAAACCTGGATGATTCATTTTGTCATGAGATTCTAGGAAATTTATCTTTGTCATTTACTACTTTGGGGTGATGTGTGGAGACTAGTGGTGGTTTGTTTCCCCAGAAATTGTGATTCTCAATGGCCTTGTCTGCTATACCTCTCAGATCTTTCTTTGAGATAACTTGAAGATAAAGACTTCTAGACATATGTGTATAAAATTGTTAAATTTAAACTAATAATATGTATTTACTATATATATTTCATTAACTACAAAGGCTTTATAATGTCATGAAAAGTTCACTCATCTTGAGGATAGAGAACTGAGAGTTACACACGTTTGACATTCATGAATTGTATTTCCTAGATTTTTGCTAATACCATTATAGCAAAAGACAGCTGTGAGGCCTGGGTGAAAAGAGCTGTACTTTGACTTTATTTTTTGGACTGCAAGTTTATGGGCAAGTGGATCTTTATGTTATGCCCTGGGAGTCTCAGCGTGGCAGAGCAGACCAACCTTAATGATAAACATGCTACATTTAACTCCACATTGGATAGTATGTCTGAATTTGGTGCTTAAGACATGCTTTTCCTCTACTTGTGACTGTGTCGAACATTTAGCCCTTTTTGTCTGTTACTGCATTTAAATACAGTAAATCAGTTTCTCAGGGGTAGTAATAGCAGTTTTTATAAGTTTCTCCAGCTTGGGAGGAACTGTTCCTGTGGTAAATTGAGCTGATAGTACCTTTCGTGTTAATGTCAAAATTATGCAAAGAAAAAAATCTTAGAGCCATCTTTGAGATTTGATTCAGTTAAGTTTGTGCAACTGGCGCCTTTAATCAACTGTGTTTTTATGAAAATGTTTATTGAAGCCTCTAGCTTAGATGATTTTTTCCCCCTGTAATTATCCTCATATTTTAAGCTTTTGTTAAAATTATCTCTTGGTTGTGGACAAAGTTCATAGGCTGGAGTTCTTGTTAAAGTGGTATTGCAAGTTTTTTTCTTAGTTCCTTATAGTACACACATATAATAGAATTTTCATATCATAGATATGAACTACCAGTAAATAAAATTTTATTCTTCAACTCATTCAAAGCCTCTGCTTTCTAGATAAAGCTGTCACCGTGAAATTTTTTCATTTTTCTTCTATCAACACTGATGGCTGTTGTCATTCTTTTAAGGGCCATTATTTTTAGTTTCAAAGCAATGTTTTTTTCCTACTCTAGGTAGGTAAGAGACAGGGACTAACAAAGAACAAAGCTACAGTGAGATGGGAATGTAGGGTATTCAGACCTGCAAATTTACTCTCAGACAACAGTTCTACTGGATGCAGGAGTCAAATTTTGCTTCAGCTAAATTAATACATGTCATGGATTTCCAGGTTTCTCCTGAATTGGCCAGTCCTTGAGAATGCTAAGGGTTTACTGTGCTGGTTTTCAACTAAATTGTACTTTAGAATCATTTACACACCATCAAAGATGTAGGGTATGTTCCTTACCTTAATCAGAATGTCCAGGATTGCTTGCCTGTCCAAGTCTGGCAGTATAATGAAGTGTCATTGGTAGTTTTAAAAAAAATATGTCTCTGTGTTGTGTCATTGGCAATTGAAAAACACACATACACACAGTGTGCCAAAAAAAATACATTTTAAGAAAGGAAAAAGCTGTATTAAAATTACGCTGATGGTAACCACTTTGAGCACTTCTTGTAATTGTAGAAGTCAAACGTGACTTGTATTCATCTTTTGTTGGTGTATATTATTACATTTTAATAGTTTTTCTTTCTTAAAATGTATATACTTTTTTTTGGCACGCTGTGTATGTGTGTGTGTGTGTGTGTGTGTGATATATATATATATATATGTATTCTGTGTTTGTGAGTGTGCACACATGCATGCTAGAAATAAACTTAAAAATTTATAGGCCTTAAAGAAAAAACTGTGGAACTATTGAGAAGCCTAAATAAAGTTCCAAAATAGAAGTAATAATTTGAGGGAATACCTGTTTTGTATATTAAAATGTATTGTAAGGCTATAGAAATTAAAACTGTTTTTAGTGATATGAATAGACAGAGTAATGGATTAGAACGAGAATTTAAATACTACATATGATTAGGTGTCATTTAATTTAGCGGAGAGTGTTAGGTTTTTCACTGAATGATGTTGTGACATTTAGTTGTTTGGGGTTTGATTCCTGTCTTATTCATTACGTAATAATATAATTATAGCTTGATTAAGTTATAATGTGAAAAAAATCAAAACAACTTGGAAGAAAATAGAGGATAGCATTTTTTTATATCTAGGAATGCTCACATCCTTTCTTAGTTTGATGTAGTATCTTGAAGCCATAAAGGCAAATATAGCATGCTTAACTACTAAAGAATAGACTCTTTTATGTCAAAACTGGGAAATACTATTTGCAAATGTATGACAAAGGCATGATTTGAAGTGTACAAAGGGCTCTTACAAAGCAGATAATCACAAAAACCCATTCACAAAAGGGTATAAACAAGCAATTCACAGAAAAAGTACAAAGACCTTTAAATATATGAAACAATTAACAGTGTTACTATAATATTAAAGATGTATGTTGAGAAATACAGTGTCATTTCCTTTTATTAAAGAGGTAAACATTTAAAAAATGATTTTTGGCTGTGTAGAGTGGAAAATATACACTTTCATTTTCTGTTGAGAATATATATTGGTACCGTTTTTGTAGCAGTTTGGCTATACTGTAGAATTTGAAGTGTGCATAGTTTTCATTATTAGCAGTTCTACTTGAAGAGAGTTATCTAATAAAATATTTGTGTAATTACTCAAATGTTTTTAAAAATGTTTATCAAAGCATTTTTGTAGTTAAAAAACATGAAGCAGTATTAAATAAATTGGAGACTGTATTAATAAATTATGGTATATACATAAAGGAATACAATGTAGCTTCAAAAGAAATGAGAGATGTAGATGTCTTGGAAAGATGTCCATGATATTAAGTTTAAAAACCAAAATAAAGAATACTCTGTATAATACCAATGCATAAAAAAGTAATTTTAAGGAATTATTTAACTTATGTAATATGTGAGGGAAATGACACACACCAACACCAAGCTGGTAATAATAGTTGCTTCTGACAAATAGTTACCCCTGGGAAGGGAAAGAAAGATGTTCACTTTTTTTCTTCAAACATTCCTTAAGAAAACAAATAGTCTGTGTTCATTTTTTCAAAAGAAAACATTTTCCTAAAAATAAAGAAGTAAGCTCCCTAGCTCCCTCAAGTTAATTGTGATGCAAATCCTTGGTTAGGAACTGCTTGTTAATTGTATATTCCTGATTTTCACACTTACTAGTTTTTGGGTCTTATTTACTAGAAAAATTACCTGGTTGTTTATAGTTTTTGTCATGAGGGGGGTTAAAATAAATAATAATATCTACCATTTACGGATGCTTTCTAGAGTGTTTCTTCAGATCTGTTTCAGATCTAATATAATTTTATGATTGCTACAGAGATAGTTATAATGATCTATGAACACTTTTTGATGTAACTATAATTTGTTGAAATTACTGCATTTAAAGTCAATGTTTTCTGTTTTCAACTTTCCCTGGGGAAAATAATGGCAGCAGAACACATGGAAGGGCATGGTAAGTTCAGCTTGAGAATAGCTGAAAATTTAGAGAAAGTTTTGGTGACAGTGTTGTTGATAGTTCATCAGCAACCTTCAGTACTTTCTCAGTTATTTTTAAAGTAATGATGGCTCTTTCAGTTGAAAGGTTGTCCTTACGGGTGAGGATGTAAATGCAGAATGTGGTTTTTGTAGACACTGTTGTAAGATTCAGCTGAAGTGGAAACTAATTCGAGTTGTACCGTTTACTTATAGTATACTAAGAGCAGGTGATAATCTTTGAAAGGGAAGCCTCATGACCTATTTAATGAAAAGCATTCATTTTGGCCCTCTTGAATTACAGCAAAAATTGAGAATTCCTTTTAAATATAGTAAAGCTTTATAGAGGATAAAGTAGTAGATTAGATTATTCCATAATCTGCACACATTCTGTTTTATCTTTCCTTTTTTCTTGGATGGATGGAAATATGCTACTGGATGTCACAGATCAATTTCCAGAAGAAATTAGATTGGTGTGAATCTATTTTTTTCTGTGTTCTGTTTTCTGGTTTATCCTTAATCAGCATACTGTTTTAAATTCCCAGTGTATATACTTTTTGGCCATTTGAAAAGGGATTGCATTTCTTCAGAGACTTTTATTACATGGTGCATAGCATAACTAGACATTTGGCTCTATGAAAAGCAAAAGAAAATATTGCATGGTAGAGCATTTTTTGAAGGATTTTTAAAAATTTTGTGTTTATTAAAAGGATCATCAAGATTGGATTACCCCTTGCTCTCTGCCCTCCGACATTCTTAAGTTAAACATTAAATGTGCTATATATTATTTTAAGAAAGTAAATGTTTTTCATCAATTATCTTTTTACTTTTAATTTTGTGACACTAACCTTTTCTTTTAAACATTCAATAGGATTCCGACCTTCGAAGTGCACTTCTTTTGGAACAGGCTGCACACTGCTTCATAAACATGAAGAGCCCCATGGTTAGAAAATACGCGTTTCATATGATACTGGCAGGCCACAGATTTAGTAAAGCAGGGCAGGTGAGTGCATTTTCTTTACATAGAAAATAACTAGCTATTTATCTTAATTTTTATTTGTTATAATTTGTTATTTATTTTATAAATGTATGTTACTTGTAATTTTTTCTGATTCAATATTAATCCTAAAAATCGGTAGAAATTTTGTTTCAAGGTATATTGTTAAGGGCATGAGATTTGGATTTAGATAAATCTGGGTTTAAATCTTGATCTGTTCACAACTTGACTTTGGTCAAGTTACTTCTCTGAGCCTTCAGTTTTTTTATTTATAAAATTTGAGATTTTGTCCTAATTTTTGTAAGGTTAAACTAGATCATATATGTGAAGGGCCAGATACACAGAATGCATTCAAGCAACTTTAACTAACCTTAACAGAGGTTGAACTCTCCCTACTTGAGCTCTAGTCTTCTGTTGTCTCTCACAGAGCCTTATAAGAGTGTTTACTAAATATTAAATGAATAGAAATCTTCTGTCTCTTGTCCCTGGAAGCAGTTGGGTTGGTAGGACTATTAATTTAAAGAGATTTCTACATCCCCAATTGTCCCTTTAAGCATTAGTTGGAGGGAGCTTTGCTGGAGATGGAGAGTGATGGCAGCAGGGAGATGGTGGTTTACTGTAAATATAGATAGTAGTGTCGATTCAGTAATCATCTTGATATTTCAGGGACTATACTAGGAGCTGAGCATACACCAATAAAACCAACATGGTCTTGTCTCATAAGGAGCTTTTTATCTAGTAGGGGAGTAGGAGGATTTTTTTTAATGTAGTTAATATAAATTTTTATGAACACACTTATATTTTTCAAAGTCTGTGTTAACCAAAACGTGCCAGTGTTTTTAATCGTTTGTTATTTTAAAGGTACAAAGAAATTAAGGTGTTCAAAAATTACTCTCTTAGCACAATACCCTCTAGATCCATCTATGGTGTCGTAAGTGGTGACTTATTTCATGAAATAAGTCAGACAAAGACAAATATCATATGATTTCACATATATGTAGAATCTAAAAAAAAAAGGTAAATGAACAAATAAAATAGAAAGAGCCTCATAGATACAGACAACAAGCTGATGTTTGCCAGATTTGGGAGGCTGTTGGGGAGATAGCTGGAAAAGTTGAAGGGATTAAGAAGTACAAATTGGCAGTTAAAAAATAATCATGGAGATGTAAAATACAGCATAAAGAATATAGTCAATAATATTGTAATAACTATGTATGGTGTCATGTGGGTACTAGACTTATCAGGAGGATCACTTCATAAGCTATATAAATGTATAACCACTATGCTGTGCACCTAAAACTAATATACTATAACTGTCAACTGTAATTGAAAAATAAAAAAAAGTTCCTCTCAATTTCTTGTAAAAATGTCATGATTTTTAAAAACCAACATTTGAAAATTGGGTTCCTTCCTATATTTTTGGAAGTTAGAAAATATTTCTGGCAAGTTAAAAAATGTGTGAACTTGCTATTTATTAAATACAAAACTGTAAAAATATTTATAAAATTAAATGTATTTTTATGATGATTGATACACTCTATGAATTAGAACTTCTCAGGCTCTAAAGTGGAAAAAAATTAACAACTATTATTTTTAACAGGCTTTCTTCCATAGTAAGTACCCATGAATTTGAACATGTTATCCTATTGTTTATCTTTGCATAAAGTGTCATATTTGGAAATTTACAAAATGTATTAAGTGTGTGGTTTTCTTAGAAGGAAAATTATATACCCCATTAGGAATGGTCCATTGCCTCTTGTTTTAAAAAGTCATCCTTTTCCCACACCTTTTGTAAATGGTTTCATATGTGAGACTAATGACGTCATTGGAACTGAAAACAGCTGCTTCTGTGTATACCTTCTGAAGATACAGGGTGTATTACTTCTAGCAAACGCATAGCAGGATAAAAATGCTACACTTGTGGTACGTTGAGATACATTTGCTGATTGGCCTAATAATCATCTCTACTTGTAGTTGTTATCTCATGAAGTTAATGATTCCAAGGCAGTTGGTTTTGCTGTTTTGTGACCACTCCTTATATGACCCAAACCCAGGAAGTCTCGTTCTCATACAGTATGTAGAAACCTGAGAGTATGACTCAGAATGCAGATCTGTTGTAAAAGCAAACATATGTGTTACTGAAGTTGGTCAAAAACAGTATCTTCCTTGGAAGATGGGGCATATAGCGCACACACAATTCTAACGGAGGCCAACTTGATTCTGAAGAACACCAACATTTCCATTTAAAACAGGAGTGTGTGTGGGCCGGGATGTGTGAGGACGACAGAGATTGTATAGTAATGCCGTTTCTCTCAGCCCTCTCTGATGGAGAGTTTATGCTCAGTTGCTTATCTTGTCCTCAGAAAGTTTTTATAGTTTAATTTTTTTTTCATTAAGAATATCAACAAGTAAAAAAAAAAGAATATCAACAAGTACAAGGCAAATTTAAAAAGCACAAATGGCGTTAGAAAAAATTAAAATCAGTAAAAAAACACATTTAAGAAAGTGCTGGGGAGAGTGTATGTGTTTGTGTTCTCTATACCTGGGACAGTCTTTCTTGTGTTAAAGGCAAATTTTAAATCCTTGTTACCTTATAAATCTCTTTAGATGCTTTTCTACGAAATCTTGAAAGATGCACTTGAACTTGACACTTAAACACATTCGATTATTTCTCTATCAGTTTTTAAGAATCAGTATCTGTGTTTCTTTACTTAATGCAAAATGGAGATTAGGGTTGGTTTTCTTTAAGAAACATCACTTAAAAATTATTTTGAAACAGTCTCAAAGTTAAAAGAAAATGTACAAATACAGTTCATAAACTTTTGTTTACCTGAGCCATTGAGAGTTAAGTTTGTCTACCTGGTGCTCCATTACCCCTAAATACCTTAGGACATATTTCCTATCTTCTAGAAACAAGAACTTTTCTTCTGTATAACCATAATACAACAATCAAAATCAAGAAGTAAGTATTAAGACAGTACTGCTATCTAACCCTCAGACGCCATTTAGGTTTTGACAGTTGTCCCATAAATGTTCTGTATAAGCAGAAGGATCCTGTTCAGAAGGATCCTTTGACTTTTATGACCTTGACACTGGAAGATTACAGGCCAATTATTTTGTAGAGTGTCGCTCTATTTAGGATTCTCTGATGTTTCATCATGATGGCATTCAAATTGGGTATCTATAAGGATATCACAGAAGAGAGACTATATTCTTCTTATGGCATATGCTATTAAGTGGCAGATGATTTTGACTTGCTTTCATTATCTCTTTATCAAGAAAACATTTCTTAAAAATCAAATAATTCTGGCTATACATGGTACAAAGTTTGTAATCTACCCTGGGGAGAGGAGTGGGTATAAAAATACACTCTGAAACAAAAGATTTAGTGGAGAGAGGCCTCTTCCTTGGTACCAAATCCCATTTTTAGGATGAAAGTTGAGTTCAGGGGGTGGCAGTGATATGTGATTAACACCAAATATCTGCTTACGGGTGTGGCAGGATGCAGTAGTGGGCAAAAGAAAAGAATACCAAATCATCCTACCAACAAAACAGTAGTTTAAAAATGTATATACACATATAAATATATACACACACATATACCATATACTCACACATGCAGTTTTAGCACACACAGGATATTTCCATTTAGCCCAGTGTAGTGGTAGAAAGAGAGACGACTAACAAAATTGAGACTTTATAAGATAACTCATTTACAAGCTAACAACCAAGCCTCTAATCCACGTTTCCATGTGCTACTGCTTTGGAAATGCCCGGATTGTTTTTCATGAAGTAATCATTATTCCTGACTTCTTAGACTTCTTGCCCTTGGACAAAGCAGCTGCTTGCCTGCTTTAGGACCTCTTGGTTTTTAGTAATAATTGCAAAGAGATTTTCCTAAGTGTTAATTTCATTTTCCTCATCACTTCAGTCTCAGAAGAACTAGTTAACGCGTTGATTGTGTGTGTGTGTGTGTGTGTGTGTGTGTGTGTGTGTGTGTGTGTATTTATTTTTCGTCTAAGAGAAATTTGGATTGTAACACTTTGTTTATTTTCTTACAGAAAAAGCATGCTTTACGCTGCTATTGTCAAGCCATGCAAGTTTATAAAGGAAAAGGCTGGTCTCTTGCTGAGGATCACATTAACTTCACTATTGGGCGCCAGTCCTATACTCTTAGGCAACTGGACAATGCCGTGTCTGCTTTTAGGCATATTTTAATAAATGAAAGTAAACAATCTGCAGCTCAACAAGGGTCTTTCCTCAGAGAATATCTTTATGTTTACAAGGTGAATACTTATTTCCATATTATTAAATTATATTAAATAATATTAAAATTATATAAGTCATTTTTAGCAAAAAGCATATTCAGTACTATCTAGTAGTCTAATAAAATGGTTTTATTAGAATATACATATGTATGTGTATGTGTGTATGTGCATATATATATATATATATATATATATATATATATACATATATATATATAAAATTATCTGTCATAATAAAGTGTGGCAGGCCAGGCTTTTTGGTCCTAGACCTGAGTTGCATTGCCTTTCCACAGTTCTTTAAAAGAGAATTTTAGTATTCTAGTAAAGATTTGATTAGTCGCTGTTCCTGGAATTTTTTAAAAAAGATAAGATGCCACAAGTTTTCTGGACTGTTTCTTCATTAAGATGTTGTTTTGGGTTTTTTTGAATCAAAGTAGATTTTACAATGTATTTGGTCCTCTTACCGTCCTTTGGAAAAGTATGTTCCTGTCTTTTCCATATGAAATAAGAGGTATGGATGTATGGGAAATTGACAGATTATTATGGTGTAACCCAGAAAAATTAAAGGAAGGCAAAATATTTTCCTGAGACAGGTGGATAGGAAATACAAAGCATTGTTTTACGGAAAAAATTGGAAGTTGTAATTTTTTTCATCAAGGCTTATAAATAGTGAATATTGCATTTCTGCCCTGCAGAAAATAACTACCCTTTTGTACACTATTAATTTGAAATCACATGAGTTAGTGTTGTGACAGATAGGATGCCGTAATGAGTCACAGGAAGTAAAATGAACAGCAAAATAACGTTTGGAAATTTAACATCCAAAGAGAGCTAACTAGCTAAGTAACCTTAGGAAGGTTCTCTTGGGCCAGAATAAATGATATCTAAAGTTCTTCCCAGTTGTAAATTTGATGTCTGATGTATTAAGTAACACTAGTAATTCTTTATCTTAATGTTTTTGCTTAACATGTTTTTAATACCTTGTGTATTAAAAAATGAGGAAGCAAACATGGAAGTGGAGTTTTCTCAGGAATTCTTTTTTTTCCTTTTGTATTTCTCCTAGAATGTAAGTCAGCTCTCACCAGATGGTCCTTTACCGCAGCTTCCTTTACCATATATTAATAGTTCAGCCACACGGGTTTTCTTTGGCCACGACAGACGACTTGCAAATGGTTAGTAAAGTTTTTTGGGGGTCTTGTTACCTAGTGACTATTTTTTTTAGTTTGGTTTTTTTTCTCCATTTAAAAAAACCATGTGTAGTTGTTAAAGAATATTTGAAATAGTTCTATACCATATTACCTACCCTACTGCCGCCTGAAGATAACCACTACTTCAGTGTTTTTCCTTTCAGCCATAAGCCAAAAACGATAGCAACAAAGTAGCTATAATTATAATGGCTTTTCTCATATAATATAAAGAATGCTCATATTTTTATATAATCTTGATAAACATTTTTAATGACTAAGATATTCCTTTCAGTGCATACAAAGTACTTTATTTTAACATTTTAGTTCACTGCTTCCATCTTTTTGCTTATATAAAATCATGTTGTAATAGACATCTTTGTGGATAAAACTTGTTTTATTAACTTTTTATTACAGAAGTTTTCAAATGTACACAGAAGTAGAGAACAGTTGCTGTTCTTGTAAGGCTTTTTAATAATAATAGAATTTTTCTTTTAATTGAGCCTTAGATTGAGCCTTAGAATGGCAGCACCTGGCCAAAAATATAAATATATTAAGGCTCTTGCTGCATGTTAAAGTAAACTTTGTAATTCTAAGCATTCTTATATTTGAGCTTAATATAAGTGTTTCTTCTCAAGACTAATTTAGTATTTTAAAAGTATTTATCAGGATGTTTATAGCAGCATTGTTTTTAATAGCAAACAATGAAATAATAGGGTATGAATTGACAAATTTTGGTATATGCATATAATGGATTCATTCTGTAGGACATGAATGAACTAATTCTACACGTTTCAACCTGGATAATACCCACCACATAATGTTGAGTGAAAAAAGTTACAGAGTTACGAGATCAAATATAATTTCATTTATATATTTCAAACATACAAAGCAGTTCTATGCATTGTTTATATATACACTCACATGTGCTAAAATAAAAGTAAGAATGAAAATGGATAAGAATGCTATACCTCAACTTTGGAGTAGCTCCGAGAATAGTAGCGCCAGTGGAGAGGAAGGATTGGGGAGGGTTCCACAGAGGAGGACATCAGCTCTTATCTGTAACATTTATTTTATAACAGATATGTGGGATTATATGACAAAAGTTAACCTATTAAATTTTGATGTACAAATATTTTTTATATTATTCGCCATATGTTTGAAGTATTTCATATCAAATTGTTTGTGGAAGACTAGGGAAAATATATTCTTTCAGAGCCAGGAGGAAAAGAGCATCAGTATTGGAAGCAAAGTTGCAGTTAGACTAGGGTTAATGAGAGGATATTTTTCTCTCAGATAAATTTTTATTTAAAATATGTTACATTTGAGGGCAGGTATTAATGAACATGTGTATTTAATTTTGACACCTTTAGGTGAAAAGCAAGCAGCTACTCATATAAGTCTTGATCAAGAATATGACTATGAGTCTTCTCAGCAGTGGCGAGAACTGGAGGAACAAGTTGTGGCTTTGGTTAACAAAGGCGTGATTCCGTCCAATTTCCAGCCCACACAATACTGCTTGAACAGTTATTCAGATAATTCGAGATTCCCGCTTGCAGTTGTTGAAGGTGATACAGTTGAATATTTATACTTGTTTTTTTGTGTTTTCTTTCTGCAGATAAAAATACACTGGAAGCTGGGGATGCAAAAATAAATTAGGAACTCATAATTTAGTGAGCTGCATTTATAAAACCAAGCAGTGGGGGCTCTTAACAGGGAAATGCAATGTGCTGTTGGGATACCGAAGAAAGGATGCCATTCTTTATTACAGAGAGATTGGGGAAATCTTCTAGAGGAGGTAGTTTTAAAACAATTTTCAATAAAGGGACATTTACAAGTTGGTAAAGGATGGTCTAGGTAGAAATTCAGAGCTATGAAAGCAAGTTGCGTTCAGAGAATTGAAGCATAGAGCGAAGTGTGGGGTTAATTGAAGTTACTCATTTAGGTATTTCTTTTATAGAACCAATAACGGTGGAAATGGCTTTTAGAAACCCTTTGAAGGTTCCACTTTTGTTGACTGATTTGTCATTGCTCTGGAAGTTTCAACCTAAAGATTTCAGTGGAAAGGATAATGAAGTTAAAGAACTAGTAAGTTATTAAAAGGTATTTGTAATAAGCATGTTTCAGTAATAGCCTAACAGATGCTATAATAAATTTCAGCTTCTCTGTTCAGTAAGCTATATTTATTCTTTTTTATGCGTATTTTCCTTAGTTATAAAAAGTATGTTATATGCTTATTGTCGAAAGTTGAGAGTACAGAAGAACATAAGGAATAAAAGTAAAACTGTTTTCTCAGTATTTAGAAATAACCACTTTAACACTTTACTGTCTTTTCAATTATTTCCATTTATTTTTTTCCCTCTTATATGGAATGTTCTCATATTATGTATTTTGGTTTTCTATTCTTTGATTTATATGCATATTTTGGTTTTTAAAATGTCTTAATACTTCATTTTTATATAATATTCTGTCATATGGATGACAGTTATTCTGTCTCTCCATTGGTAGTTATTTTGGAAGATTCCATTTATTTACTATCATAATTCAGTGCTGCAAATTTGGGTGCATAGTTTTTTATCCTGACTATTTCTGTAGGAAAGATTGCTAGGCTTGAAGTTAGAACATTTTAGAGAATTAATATTTTAATACGCTATTGGTTTCTCAAAAGGTCGTAATAACGAGCTTCTCCCCAGCAACATATGGGTTGGGTATCTCATCGTTGCAACATTACTTTTTCTATATGTAATTAACCAATTTGGAAAAAGAGGCAAGTCCGAAAAAAGATGGAGAAATTTGCTCTTATTGTAAGATTAAATGGCCATTTTGGCCATTGTTGATAATGAGCAGCTTAGCTTTATCTCTTGAGATTTTAACCTCTTGGTGATAGCGACTTTGAGTGGATCTCTTCTTATCCTCCTCAGTTGAGTTGGACTGAATGAAGTTAAAAATAATAAAAAAATCAAGTACCCCCTACTGCATGGCTTTACTGAAATTATGAAAATAAAATAATTTGTATATTGTTTAGCACATAATAATAACTTAGTAATTGCTAACTATAATTATTGTTATTCTTAAATATTGATATATAGGAATGTTCATAATCTGATACTTTATTCATTAGAATGTATATTTTACAAAATAATTTATTTTTTAGGGAACAAGTGAACCTGAAATGATTGGAGTTGAAGTTATTTCAGAATTCTTAATTAATAGTGAAGAATCTAAAGTGGTAATTGTTTGATTATTTTTCTGTCTTAAGCCTTTCTAAAAATAAGATGAAACATTTTAAAAATCAGTTTATTCAGTATGTTTTATATTCTAGTTTTCTTTGAAAGTAAAATTTGGAAGATTAGAATACTGGAATTGCATAAGAAGAAAATGGCCTTTGGTTTGTTAATTTCCTAAGAAACCTGGTGAAAATTTTTTGCTTTTCTCTTGGGATTAGTATATAGTTGGTTGAGCAGAATATTTTGATTTTTAGAAAAGTATTGATGAGGATCCAGGCCTCTAATTGTTGAATTTAGAGATTTTCTTTTGAAGAAAATGCTTTCCAATGAGAGCATTTGATAATTTAAAGTTTAGGTCATGAGTTTGTATTTCTGCACCATTACAGAATGTAGATATTGCACAATTTAAGATATCATGAAAATTTAAGATAATGAGAGTGGCTTAAATGTCTCCACAGGCAAGACTGAAGCTCTTTCCCCATCACACGGGGGAGCTGCGCGTTCTGGGAGTTGTTTATAATCTTGGCACTAGTCAGGGCTCCACGACGTTAGATGGCATTGGTGCTCTTCCTGGATGTCACACAGGTAAAGCTACAGAATTGCTAAACTATTAGAAAGCTATTGTAATACTTACTTTATTCTCCTTAGAATAAAATGGATGAAAATGAGATATTTTAAAAATGGGTTTATGTACCTTTAATAAAGGCATCTAGTCAGGTGGAAGATGAATAATTTGGATTATTTTGAAGTCTGCCATTACTTCCAAACTAAACAGCGTTAGTGTCTTCTAATGTATTTTGTTTTGGTAATTCTTAGGTTGTACTCTATGTATTTTTCTTTTCTGTTATTGATCCAAGTTTAGTAAAGTAACCAAATATATTCTAACCATTGGTTGAGATGTCTGCTGCCAATACAAAAACCATCTTAGCACATTCAATTTTTTGAATATTGTCTTTTTTATAAAACAGACCCAATTAAAGACCAGTGTTTTCACATTATTGGATATTAAACACTTTAAATTCTGTCATTTATTCTGTAAAAAGAATAGGATATTAGTGTTAATAGTTTTGGTACCCCAGATGATATGTTTTACACATTTTAGAAGAGTAAAAAACTGCAAGGTACATGTTTAATATAGTTCACTTTTTTTTTTTTTTAAAGATTTTATTGGAGAATTGGGGGAGGGGAACAGCGTTGGGGAATCAGGGAAGGAGAACAGACAAGTTGCTGTCCTTTTGTTCTTCAGTCTAGTTATGGAGGACGTTGCTTTACTGGCCCATGTTGGTATTATCATTGCATTCTTCCCAGGTGAGGCAGTTGCTTACCGGCCACTGGACGGCTACTCACGGTGGCTCTTGGCAGCTCATGAAAGCGCACGCCAGCTGCCGGCCATCCCCACTGCAACCTACACCGTCGCTGGCAACTCACGGCAACCTAGCTCCAGGTCGAGCTGTTGTTCACCATCTTAGCTGTAGAGGGCACAGCATCACTCGTCCTCATGTGGGATCCGAACCGGGGCCCTGCTGCTCAGAGCTAGCGTCCCAAGCCAACTCTTAACCAACACGCCACTTGGCCAGCCCCACTTTTTTTTTTAATTCAGGGAACCCTCCTAGAGCTCATATTATCTTGTGATTGTTATATGTAGTTACTTAAGTTGACAAGATGCCAGGGAGTTTACTATAAAATCTCTTACTCCCAGCCTTTCATTTGAATAGATAAGTCTTATCTTTTTTAATAAAAATAGTCATTGACAGACCATTTATAAAAGCTGATTATTAATTTTGGGAACTCTTGGAAAATTTGTTGGTCCTTTTAACCTTTAGTGGAATATTTCTACTTGTCTGCATATCAAGGATGATTCAATACAATATTTTTTTATAAAGTAAACAAGTGGAATGGATCCATAAGAATTAAAAAATGAAGAACAAAAAAATTTCACTAAAATTGAGTATGGTATTCTGCATTTTAGTACTGTATTTGTAATTCTTGGTTGACAAGCACCAGACAAGGTTCATTAATAATCTTGCTAATTTGTTGCATACTTTAAGTTAACTAGGTCTTAAGAACTTTTTGATGCTCTTTTCCTTTCTCAGTTGTACATACCTAGGATCTTAATCTGGTACAACAAAGTTATTGTTGTCAATAAAATAGTCAATTGCTTCATTTAAGATACCAAATATATTCATTAATATAATAATTTATATGTTATTTTAGGACATTAGTGAGAGGACACCCTGAATTAACTATTAAATTGCATCTTGTAAGCAGAATTGTCATGATTTAGTGTAGTTAGTTCATTACTATGTAAAATGCTAATAGAGATCTGGATCAATGAAATATGGGAAATGGTACATTGTATATCTGGTCTGGGACTATCACAGTGACCATCAGCGCATTAAAGGCTCTGAGGAGGAAAGATAGTTATATATCCTAGCTTTTTTCACACCTACACACACTGCATGGAAGCTTTTGGGGGAAATCTCACATGAGCATTAAATGAGTTTAATTTTGAGACGGTACCCATGCTATGTTAAATTTTTTCATTGTGTAATCTATTAAGAAGATTTATAATCCAGAAATAATTCAAATTAGTATATATATTTGAATATGAGTAAAAGTGAAAAGTTGACTTGTTCAGTATTTTGGAATATTTTTCCTTTGAAAATAGATCTGTGTTTTTCATAGCCTGAATCAAATTGTTGGTCTCAACATAACTGTTCTCTCAGATCTTTTTGGTTAATAGCCATTATGGTTAAATATAGGTTTCAGAAAACTTACTAGTTAGTGATATGTAGCCTTTCTGCAAAGTAAGTAAATCCTAATAAAATGAGAAATTAAACAGCATAAAATAAGTGTAGTTAAACATGAAAATAAAATACACTTAATTCTTTGATTAACATGCTAGACAGTAATTATCTAGGATTTTTCTAGAAATAATCTGAAACTTAGAGTATTTATATATTCAAGCTATACTGATATAGTTAACATACCGAGTTATTTTAGGGCATTGATTGTTTTTTATTTCAGGAAACCATTCCTTGAATATGTCAGTCCGAGGGAGACAAGATTTAGAAATTCAAGGTCCTCGGCTTAACAACACAAAAGAAGAGAAAACATCTATTAAATATGGTCCTGATCGACGTTTAGATCCCATAATCACTGAGGAAATGCCACTGTTGGAGGTATTTCACTTTTTAAAATTTTATGGACTTAATAATTTATCTAAAGGTCAGATGATGCTTTTGAGTGAATTAATTTTCGACTTTGAAGTTGAAACTTTTATTAAGCTAGGGTTTAAATAGATCTAATTCACAAAGATAAGATAATCTTGCAACTTGGCATTAAGTCATAGCCAGGTTATAAAACATAACACTCAAAATATTAATGGAAATTGGGAAAACACTTCTGAAAGAACACTTTTGTTGTTAATCAAATCAATGGCTCTTTTTCAGTAAGGTATAAAATAATACGGGAATTAATGCTTATAAAAATTTAAGCAATATAGATAAATATATGAATAAAAAGCAGTCTTCCCTTCACTCTTTTTGTATCCTACCCCATCCTGCTTTCATGCCATATAAATTAAAGGTCTTTCAGTTGCAAAAGATAGAAACTGATGCTAGTTTACATAAGCCAAAAAAGAAAACACTATTTAGTTGAGGAATATTAGAGGATCACATGGCAACCTAAGTGTAGAACAGTAAGCCTCAAAGAAGAATAAGGACTTGGCAGCTCCAAGGAATGTAGCAGCAAATGCTTGTAAGCTGTTAGAAAGTATTTCTTTTGATATGTCCTTAGTCTGACAACTTACAGTCTTTGTGTCACATTATTACAAATTTCAAGTTGCTGAGAGAGAATTCTGGCCTACCTTGGACTAGGTAGACCAAAGGCAGGGTGATGTAGTATAAGGGTGAGCATTGGAAGGCAGTCCTTCCTCCTGCATCCTCTAGTTGCCCTAGTAAGGAAGTTATAAGCTTAGCCATTTAACTTCAGAAAGGGCCAGTGATACCAAATTGGTGTTTCTCTTTACAGATTTTCTTGTATACTTACACATATAGTTTAGTCATTATAAATGGAATCATACTGCACTTGATTCTGTGACTTGCTTTTTGTCTTTAACAACATAATTTGGTCTTTGTTTTCATTCAGTAAAAACTTTTTTAACAGGTACATATGTTATTCCTTTATTTAATTACATCATAATATATTTTAACCATTTATTGATGGGTGTGGTTCTAGTTTTTCATCATAACTGACAGTTTTTCAGTAAACATCATTATGTGTGTATTTTGTCCGTGCTATAGTTCAGATTAGACTTTAGAAATGGAATCCTGGGTCAAAGGGTATATCAATTTAAAATTTTGCAATATACCACAAAATTACCTTTAGCAAAGCTGTAGTAATTTGCACTTTTTTCAGAATGGGACCGCCCATTTCTTCACATCTGTGCCATACTGGGTATTTTTCGGGGGTCTTTTCCAACGTTTGCAAATCAGACTGGTGAAAAATAACACTGTTTTTAGTACATTGCTCTGATAACTAATAAGGTTGATCAATCTTCATATGGTTTTTTTGTCAATATGATTGCCTGTTGATACCTGTATAATTAGGTGTTATTTTCCTTCTTTCATTGGATGACTTTTATGGGTACTAATCCTATACCTGTAGTGGGAGTAAGTAACATACTCATGAAAATGGTGATATGTGTGTGTATTGAGGGGAAGGTATTGCTGAGTTGCTTGTATTTTGCCCAAGTTTTACACATGCGTAATTATGTTGTATTTAAAGTTACATAGGGCAAATAGAAGACTTGTAGATTGACTTCAATGCTAGTTTCTGGTTGATGAATATTTAATAATTTAACTTTGATTTGGTGTCTTTCACTATTTAGGTTTTAACTTATATGAAGTCATCTCTAGTAATCTTTTACTTTACTGCTTCTAAGTTTTATAATTACTTGCAGAGACTTACCTAGGCAAAACTTGTATAGTTTTATTTATTTATTTATTTATTTATTTATTTAATCCAAGGTAATATACTCTTCTGAATGTCAAGTGGTAGGGAGCAAACTTTATTTCTAATTCCAGTTACTGTTAATTGAATATTGACAGTTCATTATGCCATCTTTCTAATATATTCTGAAAGTATCCATAACCTGTTTTATTTTGTTTTGGGGGTGATACCTATTCTGCATGGTATGATTCCCTCCTCCCTTTCTCTGTCAATATCATACTCTTGCTTTATCATCTTTTTTAATCTGGCAAGTCAAGTCCTCATAATCTTTGTTGTTGTTTTTTTCTTCTTATACTAGTGCCATTATTATCTATGCTTGTTAAATTCCCTCAATAATGTATTGGATTTTTATTAGGATTGCATTGCTATAGCTAGGAATTCTAAGACTGAAAATGGATCTAAATGAGTTGGGATCCAAATGTTAATTAGGGCTATTCACCGTTACATTGTAGTTTTATATTATAATTATTTGCAGTCACTAACTATTAAGTATTTTGCTTGGGATGTGCTAGAGCTTACTTTCCAAAGGGCAGATTCTATTCTCTTGTTAAAGTTGAGGTCAGCCAGTAGAGCACACTGAAATGCTCGGTTTTTATTGATTCTCCTAGCTTATAATTTTCATTATATCGTATCATTTAAATGTTCTTCAATTAAGATTGTTAGGTATACAAACGGTTTTTAAGTGCAGTGCTTCTCAGATAACACATTATTATGGACAGAGCTTTACTTTTAGGCTTCTGCCTAAGCCCCATCTTTAATTACCTGACCTTGGAAATTTTCTTGACTTATAAAAAATGAGGAAAGTTGAACCAGATGATGTTTCATTTTAAATTCTATGTAGCTCAACAGCCTTTAAATTCATATTCCTCTTGTTTTTGATACTGGTAGTTCTTAACTTTTCTTCCTACATATTATAGTTTTTTGTTTGTTTTTAATTTAATTATAGACGCAGTTCTCCTTAAAGAGGGTATTTTAGCAGAGGACCTCTTATTCTACATAATAACAACTGGTGTTTGGTTGATTAAATGAAAATAACAAAAAAACACAATAGACGCATACCTTAAATATTTTACCTTAATTGAAAATATACAAATGTACATTTATTCACTATTTTGGGGAGGGTTGATTTAGGTCAGAGGCCTTTTCTATGAGTTCATTGTTTTGGTATGGTTTTCTTATTAATTACATTTTGTCTTTCATGCATTCAGCCACATCCATAAGTTGTCATTTTAAGTTTCCAGCTTTGTTTGCTTCAGAGTGAGAATCTAAAGACAAGTGTTGAGTAATCTAAGTACAGTGTATGTCTAGGTTTTATCTACAGGTAAAAATGATACTTTCAGGTATAGAAGGAAGCAGTTTATATTATACTTAATTTTTTAAAGTAAGTTTGGGAACAAATAGTGACTCTTGATAAGGAAAAGGAAGGCAGGCATAATAGAAAGCCTCAAGCCACTAATGTGCAGTTCCATAAACATCACTCACTATTTTCTGCTAAGATACTAGAGAAGTTGGTTAATCTAACAAACGTGATATGATGAAGGTTAGGTAAGAGACCTTTTATTATATTTGAATAAACAACGATATTGGTAAAAAAAAAAGAATCATAGAATGTTTCTTTTCCTAATATGTTATATCAGAAATATTTTATAGAATTTGAAGTGTTTAAGGGAGTAGTGAAAGAAGTTACCATTCTAAATTGCCTGATAAAATAATTTCTTACAATATGTATTTATCAAAGCAAATTAGGATGAAAATTACTGAAGCTCATTGAGAAGAGATAAAAATTAAAGTGTCTTGTGTATACTACCATTTGTATATCATACTGAAAGCAAGCAGTGATCTATGAGCTATATCCACTTACTAGAAATATGAGGTGTGATCAAACAATATGGTGCATGTTTAAATAAAAAAAAATTTTATTTCAGTAAAAGACATATTGCCATTAATCCCTCTCAAAATACTCCCCCTCGCTACGAACACACTTTTCCCATTGTTCCTGCCACTTCTGAAGCAGTTCTGGAAGTCCTCTTTCGTGAGTGCGTTTAGTTGCACTGTCGTGGCTGCCTCGATGGGCTGAATCATTTTGACTTTGGGGAACAGCCAGAAGTCGCATGGCGCCAGCTCCAGTGAGGACACACTTTATTTGACAGAAATTGCCATAGCAGAAGTGATGTGTGACAGGGAGACTTTCCGTTGTGATCAAAACATACGGTGAATGCTGCTGCCGAGTGCCATCCAGTGGAAAGGCAGGGATCTTCAATACAGGAAGCGGCGCATCGAACCTTAGTAACAGTGTGTGGCAAGTTTCACCTTGTTTGGTGTAGTCGGTCATGTGTGAGCTACGGTTGAGAGAAGGTGTGTTTTAAAGTGTGCCGTAAATCATGGAGCACCTATAACTCATTGACATGAAATGGGCAAACGGCTTCATCCTGCGTAATGACAATGCTCCCATGTCACACATCACTTCTGGTATGGCAATTTTTGTCAAATAAAAACATTACAGTGTGTCCTCATGCACCTTAGTCACCGTATGTGGCACCGTGCGACTTCTGGCTCTTCCCAAAGTCAAAATGACCATGAAAGGTAAACATTTTGAATCAGCTCAGGAGATAAAGAGAATTAATAAAATACTTTAAACCTTTAGTAAAGAATACAGCGTCTTAAAGTGTTATTCATTAGGGGTTTGGAATTTTTAACAGAAAATATAATAATATTTTTTCCCTCCAATGCAGGTGTTCTTTATACATTTTCCTACAGGGCTCCTCTGTGGAGAAATCCGAAAAGCATATGTAGAATTTGTCAATGTCAGCAAATGTCCTCTTACTGGATTGAAGGTTGTTTCTAAACGTCCAGAGTTCTTTACTTTTGGTGGTAACACGGCTGTTCTAACACCGCTAAGCCCCTCAGCTTCTGAGAACTGTAGTGCTTACAAGACTGTTGTGACAGATTCTACCTCTGTGTGTACAGCACTCACATCATCAGCTTCTTCTGTAGACTTTGGCATTGGCACAGGAAGTCAGCCAGAGGTGATTCCCGTTCCCCTTCCTGACACTGTTCTCCTCCCTGGAGCTTCCGTTCAGTTACCAATGTGGTTGCGTGGGCCAGATGAAGAAGGTGTCCATGAAATTAACTTTCTGTTTTATTATGAAAGTGTTAAAAGGCAGCCTAAAATACGGTGAGTATTACAAAAGCCTTTTGATTTAACCTCTATATTTAATATATGTACAAATTCAAATAAACATTTTGATATTTGTGGACATGTCATTGTTTATTGAGATATTACCCCCTTCTCAATTTTGCGTGATGTTTGTATCTGAGGTTGTCCCTAATAACTGTAAGTTCTAAGTGGCTGAAAGTGGAAAAAATTAAGCTACATTAGTTTTTTTGTGGCTTTTCTGTCTATAAACTTCATGATTCTTTGATATAGCTAAGTAGTCTGGCCAGAGTTATCACATAATAATGAAATTCACAGGTACCATTTGTGTATGCAGACAACCTGCTTACAATAATCCTGTTTTAAGGAAATTATTTTGTTTTACCTTTCCTTTTCCCTTTTGCCCTCCAACCCCTCCCTGCCCCAAGAAGGTATGAAAAAAAAAAATGTATGTATTTGCTGAATAGATGTTATAATGAGGGTCAGTGAAGAAATCAAACTTAACTGGCACTCACGAGGATCTGTGGCCTGTTATATTACAGAGCAGAATATTTTATTTGATAATGCATTTGTCATTTTTATAAAATTAGGAGTGATTGTGCTACATTTACTGTATATAATGGAATATTTAAAATATTTTGTAAGACTGTGAAGACAAAATGATATAATATTTGTAAGCATAATTATATTTTATATTCTAAATAAGTTAATTCTCCTGAAGATGATGATAGAGAGTACTCTGGCCAAAGCCATCAGGGAAGGCTTTATGGGATGTAGTAGTGATAAAATGAGCTTCCAAGGAAAGGAAAGATTTCAGAATTTGGATATTTAGGGAGATATGCAGGAGAGTAGTGGGCCTTCCTGGGAGAGGCTGTATATATGAATGAAGATTTGCAAGTTAGGAAATAGAAACTGAATGAGTTAGTTTGGCCACAGTGTAAAACGTGTCAGGGAACCACAGGGGGAACAAGCCTTGAAATGTACAACTGTTGTGGAGGGTTTCGAATGCCAGGTGAAAGTTTGGAGTTTACTTGGTAGGTGTTTGGTTTCTTTGGAACCACTGTCATAAATGAGGCATAATTAGGACATTACTAGATGAAGATTATCTTCATGTGCTATAAAAATGAGCTTAATGAGCAGGGAAAACCCTGGAGTCAGGGAGACTAATAGTTTCCTTCCAAAGTTAGAAGAAAGAATTGAATGAACTCAAGTTAGGCCAACTAGATAATTTTGCTATATTGTACAAATTCTTTGTTTTTTTGAAGTATAAATGGTCCTGAGAGTGATAAGGGTTTAAATTCCAAATAAAGCTTTATTTGGAATTACAGAATCACAACAGAGGGAGAGGTTTTTAGATTTAATTTACGGTTTTGTATTTCTTCAGTCACAGAATATTAAGACACACTGCAGTTATTTGTACCAGTCGATCTTTGAATGTACGAGCCACTGTCTGCAGAAGTAATTCTCTTGAAGATGAGGAGGGCAGAGGAGGCAATATGCTTGTCTTTGTGGATGTGGAAAATGTCAATACTGTAAGTTGGTTCAAAACTAATTATGTTTTTAATTATATTTGAAGTGTTTCCATGGTTTTTAGTAATGGATTTTTTTCTCTTCACAAGGCAGCATACGTAAATTAGGAATTTAGGAATATTCATGTAGCATAGAGTGTGAAAACATCTTAATTCTTCATTAGCTTTGTAATTTTAAGTCTCTCTTTAAATAAAAGTATCTGGTGGCATTAATAGGGTACATATTTGCATGATATATAGCCCCCTATGCCAGTAATTCAACCCAAAAAAGATGTCAAAGTATATTCTAGTATCACCATTGAAAATCTCTTGATGTAATTAATTAAATTTATGAAGTTCTGTTAGGATTTCACATTCAGTATTAACTTGATAACACTTCACATATATATTTCTGACAGTACCATTTCCTTTTTATAAAACATTTTAAACATTTTACCATTTCTAAATATACTCTAAATATAAAAATAAATATTCTTAAAGAAGGGAATGCGATCTCATAGTGAAAATAGTATCTTAGTTTCAGATTAATTTCTGTTTAGATACTTATTTGAAATGTTACTTATTCTGTAATGTGTTTGCTTTTAGCTTCATAAATCTGTAAGATCACTTCTTTAGGATATTTAGGGTTAATGTGCTAATACTTTGTTTTGATGATCTTCCAAAAACATCAGTATTTGTAAGAGTAAGAAAATTTTCATAATTTCAAGTTAGGTCTCATTCAGGAGAATAAAAAGTTATGTACAATTTAAATAACTTTATGTATATTGTGTATTGGTATCCTGTTTTGTGAGTTTTTTGTTGTTTGTTTTTTTGCCTTAATAGGAATAGGATCTCAGAAAGATCTGAAGAAATAAAAAAGATGATACAGTTTTGATTAAAAATTGACAACAAATAATTTTTGATCTATTAAACACTACCAGTAGTAACTCATGATAGATTCTAATAACTGCATACTCGTAGTATTTTAAAATTTGCCACTGGGAGTGCATTATAAACATGTTTCTTAGATGAAATGTTGACTTCTCTGTTTTAAGACATTTAAAGAGGGATTTAAATAATTTAAACTTTCTGAAGTATATATATTATTTCAAAATAAAAATTTCATTTTTTGTTAATTTATATTGACTTTGGTAGCAGTTGTCTAAATTGTTTTCATTACAATACTCTAAGTTACTGCTCCTAAATCCTGAATGATTCTTTCATTTCTTTTTGATAGAGTGAAGCGGGTGTTAAGGAATTCCATATAGTACAAGTATCAAGTAGTAGTAAACACTGGAAGTTACAGAAATCTGTAAATCTCTCTGAAAACAAAGGTTTGTACCATTTCTCCTCTTCATAGTAAATTCTGACATTTTCATTGCTTGATTTTTTTTCAGAATAGTACCATAATATATGATTATTTGTGCCTTTCTTATGATTAGCTTTTTTAAGCATTAAATTGTGCTTTCATTAGTTTACTTGACTGTGAATCATATTATCTACTTTTGTTCATTCTTTTTCATCTTTTTATTTGTATCTTTCTGTTTGCATTTTTTTTCCTGTTCTTATTCAGTTGTAAACTTGGTGCCTGAATACATGATCACTGTCAAAATTTCAAACAGTACAGAAACATATAAACTAGAATATGGAAGTTACTCTTTCCTTTGCCATTGGAAGGCTGGATTTTCTTTGTATAACTTGTACCTATGTGCTGACTGACGCTTCTGTGTATTTCCATGCAATGGAATACATGCAAAACATGCAAACAAGAATATGCACACTTTTGATATATATTGACAAATTGTTTTCCAACATGTTTCTATCAATTTATCATTCTGCCAGTAATACGAAAATATCTAAGAGTAGAATGAAGGTGGCAAAATGATATATTCTCTTTCTGGAAAAGAATTGTATGGTATATATTCAAAAGATATAAAAATGTTTAAACCCTTACTTAGCCTCACAGTTATCCTTATTTTTGGAATTTATACAAAGGGATTAATTTAAAATATGGGAAAATCCATTTATTTAGGCAGTTTATGATAAGATTATGCTTACTAGAGAAAAATTCAGTGTGGCTTCAATATAAATTAAGCTTCAACTGAGACTGTTTTGTGGTCAGTAAAATATATTAGCATTTTAGAAGTGTCTGCAGTGGTGGGAAAATGCATCATAGCAAAATGTGTACATATAACAACATTGGTGTAAATCTGGCATATAAAGAAATACTGAAAGGAAATTAAGAAATAATAGAGTGGTGGAATTGTGGAACTGTGGGCTCCCTACCCCCAAGTTCTGATCTTTCAAACTTTCTGTTTATCTGTAATGCCATATAGATAGATAGATAGATAGATAGATAGATAGATATTAATATAGATATATAGCTATAGATGTCATATAGATAGATATACATACACATATGGACATGTATTTCAAGACAATTTAATTTTTTCCTTTTTAAGAGCTGTGTGTGATTTACTTCATTGAGATGAAAGCAAAGACATTTTTCATTAAACATTCTTTATGATTATGAATTATTTTTCATTTTGACTGAGGAAGTCTGAATAATGAGATGCTTTTACCATGTCATAAGCTGAGAAAGATTTTTTTTTAAAGTTTATTGGGGTGCAATTGTTAGCAAAGTTACATAGATTTCAGCTGTACAATTCTGTAATACATCATCTGTATATCACATTGTGTGTTCAGCACCCAGACTTAGAAAGATCTTTGAAATTTTCTCTTTTCTTCCTAGATGCCAAACTTGCCAGTAGGGAAAAGGGAAAGTTTTGTTTCAAGGCAATACAATGTAAGGAAAAAGAAGGTAAATTCATTTTGCTTTCATTCTTTCTTAAAGGTCATTTTATATTTCATGCTAGTGATATGATTAGTTTGTTTTCTCCTGTTTTTCAGTTGCTACACAGTCCTTAGAAAAATACACCTTTGCGGATATCATCTTTGGAAATGAACAGGTATACAAATAAGCACAGTAGCATTTGATTTTAAAAGTCACAGTTCTTGAATATCTGACTATTTTGGCAAAACTATTGCTGTCATAATCCCCAAATTCTTTGATGGATGAACTTGTCAAATTTGTTGGGTTTTGCAACTTTACTTCATGCCCCAGAACAGATCAAAAATGCTATGTGGACTATACCATTTTAATTAATTAGTTAAAATTAGCTTTCTTTTGAGAAATAAGGACATGAAATAAAGGATTATATGAGGGAACCTGTTTATTAGGGAAAATGGTCACAGTGGAACATACAGATGATAATCCTCTGGATTTTGGTATAGCATATGGTTCTGAGACTCAAATAACAAGCTCTTTTGTGATTTTAAATGTATTGTTGTTTAGGGCAGTAATACTCTTAACTTCATTATATGTAAGAATCATCAAGAGCACTGGTTTACAAACTTTCAAAAAATGTGCATATGGGCCGGCCGAGTGGTGCGATGGTTAAGAACTCGCTTGGGATGCCAGAGGGCCCCGGTTCGGATCCCACATATGAGGGCCAGTGACACTGCCCTCCACAGCTAAGATGCTGAACAACAGCTCAACCTGGAGCTGGGCTGCCGTGAGTCGCCGGCGACGGCGTGGGCTGCAATCCCTGTGGCAGTGGATTGCCATGGGCTACCGTGTGTGGCCAGCAGCCAGCGTGAGCGGCCAGCAGCCGCAGTGAGCGGCCGTCCAGAAGCCGGCGACTGATCTGCCTCGCCAGAGAAGAGCGCAATGATGGTGCCAACTTGGGGCCAGTGAAGCAACATCCTCCACAACTAGATTGAAGAACAAAACGACAGCAACTTGTCTGTTCCCCTTTCCCCAATTCCCCAGCACTGTTCCCATCCCCCCAATTCCCCAATTTAAAAAAAAAAATGTGCATATGAGTCACCTGGGGATCTTGTTAAAATGCACATTCTGAGTCAGTAGAACTGGGGTGAGACCTGATATTACTATCAGCTCCTAGGGGATATTGAAGTTATCAGTCTGCAGACTCTATTTTTGACCTAGAGAATTTTGTAAAAATGAGAGCTTTGCCTCCCTGTCTCTAAAGCTCTGGTTCATTACTTCTTGAGTGGAGTTTGGGAATATGCATCTTTCACCACCGTTTCAGATAATCTGAAGAGGTGATCTGGGGATCTGCTTTGAAAAATACTGGGCCAAGGGTCTAAATTCCATGTAGCTGTGCGTTGTTATGCTATTATTTTGTCCTTGTGTTCTTCTTCTTGATAATTACAACATCCTTATACTTTTGTATTTCTCTTACCATTTGCCTTCATCTAACTTACTCTTTGTGATTGTCTTGACCGTTTGAGGAAGCAGCTATTTAGAAATAGCTCAGAGCACCAAAAACCCAATAATTCCAAAACAAGTATGCTATTGGGAGACACTGCTTTCTGAATGGTTGAATTTAGCTTTCAGGACTCTGGTTGTTTATTTAGTTCATTTCATTTTTAAATTTAAAATCTCTAGAAACATCATCATAACCTTTAAAGTATTTTCAGGTTATAATTTTTATTATATTTGTTGCTATATAATTTTGTATAGGAGCATTAAAGAAGGCAGAAACAAAGACATTTTCTCTAGAACTTACCAAGCAAGTACTACAGATCAATGAGAAAACTGTGAGGACAGTGGTTTATCAGGAAAAGCTTATTCCTTCACATGGGGAAAATGTATATATTTATTAATATTTAATTATTAATTGAAGCTTAGCATCTATATTATATAGCCTATAATGCAGGAAATTGTAAGTATAGATATTTTACAATGAACACAATATTCTATTAAGGGAACTCCTGTAGTTCTGAATCCACTTAAAATTCTTTTCTCATGTTCTTTCCCTTTAAATATAGAAGCCAAATTAATACCAATAACTCCATTTGCACTGTTTTATTGGATATTGCCTAGTGTTCTAAATATTTAAATGAGAAATACTTCTGTTGTTTTAATAGTAAAAAATTTCCAACAATTTATTTTATATTCATTTTCTTAGAGCTACCAATAGATTCTCCCTGGATATGTAGAAGGTCAAACCTGATGTAACAGCAGTGTAGGTTAATTATTTTGAGATAACGGTTTTAAGATTCAGGGTAATGTGTACCAAATATTTTAAGTGCTCAAGTCTTTGTGTGGTCTCCCTGCATTTAACCAAATTGACAAATTACTGAATAAGACTTTTGGGTATATGTAAGTTATAGAAATATAAAAGGCATATTTAATGGAAAACATTTATGCAGACAAGTGATTTTCTTTTAACAGATAATAAGTTCAGCAAGCCCATGTGCAGACTTCTTTTATCGAAGTTTATCCTCTGAATTAAAGAAACCACCAGCACAGCCATCAGTGCATACAGAAAAACAGTCAGTAGAGGATGCTGTGAGATTAATTCAGAAGTGCAGTGAGGTGGATTTGAATATTGTTGTATTATGGAAGGTATGTGTTATTAAATTATTTTAGCAAGTCTTGCTTATAGATACTTGATTCTTAAGCTGAAGAAAAAATGTAAGCTGCAATTTACATTTCTCCTTAAATTTTCCAGTTTTAGTATTAAAGTCGTTGTATAACTTTTTTTTAATAGTTCCATACTGACATTTTTGCCTAAAGAAAGAATTCATTCAAATTAGATGACTTTATTCTGTGATACTGTTACTTCTAATTGGTACTGAGAATACTGTAGACATCATAAGCTTCATGAAAGCAGGTATTATTATTAAACTAGTATTATAGGCATTTTCAAACACTGAAAAAGGAGAAATAGCACCATGAACCTCTAGGTACCCATTACCAGCTCCAGCAGCCTCTAATTTGTTGTTATTCATCTTTCATCTATTCCGTTTTCCGCCTCTGTTTTCTTTTATTTTTACCTTTATTTTTTGCTGTAGCATGTTTTTTTTTAAATGACATAAGATTTTATCTGTAAATGGTTCTGCATGTACTTCTAGCAGATAAGGACATTTTTGTTTAATATAACCCCAGTATTATTATCTCAACCAAATTAACAATAATTCTTAATAATTATCTAGTTGTTGGTCTGTGCTGTTTTTCCAGATTATTTGAAAAATATTTAAAAAAATTTTTTTTTTTTTTTAAGAAAATCATGACCAAATAAGATCCACACATGGAAGATCAGAATGAGATTGTTTAGGCATTAGTCCTCCCTGAAGTTCCCTGAACTATAAATAAATAATACAGAGAAGGCTTATTTTTCACAGTATATCTTATGCAGATATTATTTTTCTTTAAATGATTCTACGGTGAAATTAAGGATCTTAACCAAGGATATTCACCTGAACCTTCCATCAGATATTGCGTTGGTTACTTTTGAGGTTAGTACCAAACAAGACAACATTTTTGTGTTTTGTATCTTAGGCTTATGTAGTGGAAGACAGTAAGCAGCTTATTTTGGAAGGTCAGCATCATGTTATTCTTCGCACTATAGGAAAAGAAGCCTTTTCATATCCTCAGAAACAGGTAATAACCGAGTTTGTTTTGGGGCTTTCCTGTGAACTTGTGGGGTTTTGTGTTTGATTGGTTTTTGTGTTTTTGATGGTGTCTGGTTTGTGTAGGCTTTTATATTGGGATTTGAGTTGGGGGTTGGTGGCAGAATACTGATTAAAATTAGAATGAACACAAATTGCTTTTAAAATTCATTAGCACCTTATGTGAGTATTAAGATGCATTTGAGATCTTGAGGTTTCCTGAGATATATTCTCTCTGAACCTAGAATTGATAGTTATAAAAAGAATTGATTTGCTTGAAAGGAAGGGAACCATGTTCTCTGTCTTTTCTTCTTTGTTGTAAGAGGCCCACACCGTTGCAGAATTCCAGGGGGCATAGCATAAAATGTAAAGGATGGCCTCTGGAATTGTGCAGCAGTTGGTAATCATGTTTAATATGTTTTCTTATTTTTCCTAAAATACTATTTAATCTTACCAAAAATTTCTCATAGCAGATATGAACAAAATTTAAGAACATTTGGTCCAGTAATTTAAATAGTCACTTTGTATTATTTTATAAATAATGGGTCTTAATTTTTAATCTTTTTTCCTCATTATTTTTGACAACTTTTATTTTGAAATAATTTTGAAACTTACAGAAAAGCTGCAAAAATAGTAGAGAGCACGCTCATATCTTTCACTCAGGTTCACCAGTGGTTAGCGTTTTATCTTATTTGCTTTATCATTTTTCTCTATGTACATATTGATTTTTTTTTCTTGATCATTCTTAAGTAATTACTTACAAGTAAAATGCAGGCATCCTGCCTCTCTACACCTAAATATATCACTGAGTGTTCCTAAGAACAAAGATAATATCTTACATATTCAAAAAAAACAATGACTAAATTCAGGAAGTTTAACATTGATGCAGTTCTCTTAATATACAGCCTATATTTAAATGTCATCAAAGTTCTCATTATATCTTTATAAATGTTTTTTCCTATCCAAGATCCAGTCCAAGATCATACATTGTATGTACTCGTCATGTCTCTTTAGTCTTCTTTAATTAGGAGCAGTTTCTGTGCCTTTATTTGCCAATTATGACACTGATGTTTTTGAAGAGTATGGGCCAGTTATTTTAATGTATAATAAACCTCTTTGAATTTTTCCTGTGTTTCCTCATGATTAAGATTAAAGTACATTTTATGACAAAAATACTACATAAGTGGTGTTATGTCCTTGTCAGTGTATTATATTAGAAGACACATGATATTAGTTTGTCACATTATCAGTGATGGATCAGTTGATTAAGGTACTGTCTGCCATGTTCCTCTGCAATAAAGTTAACTATTTTTCCTTTTATAATAAGTAATTTGTGGAGAAATAATCTGAGACTATGTAAGTGTCTGATTTCTCATCAAACTTAGGTCCACTAGTTTTAGCGTCCATTGGTGATTCTGTAATTTGAATCAATTTTTATTTTGATGGTACAAGTGATAATTTTCCATTAGGTTTAATGAAGATGTCAAGTTTAACCCAAAATCTGTTTCTTGTACTAAAAATCATTTTTCTCCTTTTGATTAATACAAAATCCAGAGTTTTAGTTGTAAATGCCACAAACTTAATAAGTTGGAACATCTCAAACAATGATAAGATTAGCACTTAGAAAATGAAACAAAGTAATTTCTATAAAATTTAATCTTCTTATATTCCCATTTTATATACTATAAATGGCATATCCTTTTTATGTCTTTGTACTTCACTTTTGAAATATTTTATATTCTCTTTATATAATTAACTGGGCTTGGGAGATATGGCAGTTTCATCATATTGTGAATAATAGATTTGAAGCCCAAAGATTTTCAAATTGATGCCTTAGAGCAAATTACTTGCATACGTGATGGACCTTAGCTTTACTACTCACTTTAAAATAAGGATAATAGTACTTTACACTTACTTCTCATGGTAGAACTGTCCTCAGGTAGAATCAAATCCTTATTGTGGAACTACTGTACAAATTCTTGAGCACTGAATCTGAAAATACCTGTTGCTTCTCTTAAGCAGGGAAGGAGGGAAACTCCTCTAAATATTCTCAGTAAATTAGCTTCAGGTTTTTTGTCTTCATTGTTCACGTGTTTTCCTCCTGATAAATGGTATATAATCTAGACGTCTCAAACAATAGCTTGTTTACTTTGATGATTAGAATTTATTAAACATTAATACATATTTCAACTTTTTATTAAAGTGTAGCATAAATGCAGAATAGTGAATAATAGCTCAGTGAACTTCACAAATTGAAGAACACTCCGATATGTCCAGGACCCAGTTCAAGAAATAAAATATACCCAGCACCCCAGAAGTTCTGCTCTTGCTCTCCTCTAATCAGAAGTCTTCCCTCCTCCAGAGTAAACTCTGATCACTTTTCTCTGACTTGTATGTAAAAAGCCAATTTAGTTCTTGATTTTGCAGCTGTATAGATCAGGAAACTTTTTCTGAAAAAAACCAGATAGTAAATATTTTAGACTTTTATGGTCAGAAGGTCTGTATCATAATTAGTCATCTCTGTTGGTGGAGTCCAAAAGCAACAAAAGCAAACATAGATATTTTGTGGCTATGTTTCAACTAATGTTCTTTACAAAAACGGGAGACGAGCTGGATGTGGCCCATGGGCTATAGATAGTTTGCCAATCTCTTGTATAGATCAGAATCCAACTTGACTAGCAGGAAATTAAACATCAGAATTTTCCTGGATGGTGAGGGAAAATGGAAAAAAAAATAACCAAGAAAAAAATGTAGAAATGGGACGTTAGTCTCTATTTTCAGTTAGATGATAATGATATTTATTGAAATGTTTACGGTGTACCTGACACTGGCTATCTTAAGACTTTTACATGCATGTTAACCTTTAGTTAATAGTTGAAGCATTATAATTTATAAAACACACAATCTATTTCCAAATTAGAATTTTAAGGCAATTTTAGTTCTTCAACTATTAGAAAAGATGCTATACAATGGAATGTCTATAGCGTAAGTACTAAGCAATTTTACCAGATGAGAACCTCAACGACTTTTGAAATCATTATTATTATGACCCCCTTTTTACATATGAGGAAATTAGGTCTTAATATGTTAAATAACTTATCCAGGATCATAGAGGTAATAGGTGAAATTGATGGAATTCAAGTCTAATGCCAACTCATAATAAATAGGAAATGAATAATAGATTCTGAATTATATTTTATTTATCCTAGATTGTATTGCAAATGATTCCAACTGTTTGTTAAGAAAAGCAGAAAAAGTATTGTTCATGCTTTATTTTATTGATTTTAACTTCTTTTGTTTATATACACTATATTTTAATGAGGCAGTGTTTTTATTGTCATATTTTTTCTTTTCTCAGGAGCCTCCAGAAATGGAACTATTAAAATTTTTCAGGCCAGAAAACACTACAGTTTCATCAAGACCATCAGTAGAACAGCTTTCTAATCTCATTAAAACAAGTCTTCACTATCCAGAATCATTTAATCATCCATTTCATCAAAAAAGGTTTGAGAGGTTTTTTTTTTGTTAAAATTTTTATGCAACACACACACACACACACACACACACACACTCACTCTCTCTCTCTCTCTCTCTCTCTCTCTCTCTCTCTCTCTTATTTATTTATTTTGACAATGGCAGTAACCCAAATATTGAAGAATAAATTTAGAATAATACTGAGTACAGAAATTGCTCTGAAGTGATTTACCCTTTACTATGATTATTATATGTTGCTGCTGTGGTTAAAGATGGCTATTGCCTCAGCCACCTCAGTTGCCAAAAGTTTCCTTTTGATGAGATTTATCTTTTAGTCAAAAATAAGGAAAACATATATTATTTTGTATTTGACTACATGTAGACATGACTGACTACAATATAGACACACAGCAACAGTTCAAATTTAGACAGTATTATTGACTTCTGCTTTGAATATTCTATCTGTATCTCCTAGTGCATGTATGGTTGGGTTGTTTTTGTTTGTTTGTTTTTGTGTTTTGGTTTTTGGGGGTTTTTTTGCACATTTACCGAGGAGTTTTTCCAAAGTAGTTGTACCAATTTGTACATCCCACTAGTAGTATATGGAAATTCCCTTTGCTCTGTATCTTCACCAACATTTACTGTTTGATTTTTAAAATTTTTAGCCATTTAAATTATTTTTAAAATACTCTGGTCTTACATTTTTGTCCAGATTTTAATGTTGCTCAGTACTCACTCTGTGTGTCTTGGACTGCTTGAGTCCTGTCCCCAGAGATTGTGATTTGGTTGGTCCAGGGTGGGTGCTGGACGTCCAGATTTCCTAACGTTATCTAGGTGACTTAACGTTGAGACAAAATTGAGGGGAAAATAACGAATTATATTTTATCCCTATTGAACCTGTCTTGACTTCAGATACTTCTGTGGACAGTTTTGATTCCGTGATGTTTCATTTTAACCCATTCTTCTACTTTGTTCCTGTTTATCAAACCTGTGCAGCTTCCCGTGCTTCTTCCTGAATGTCTTAGATTCCATGGTGCTTCTCTTTAACCTTAATGCTTAAATCCTTGGCTGCACTCGTGAGGCCAGGATATTTAGGAGTTCTCCACGTGATTGTGTTGGTGTTTAAAAGCATCATAGAATCTAGGCAGTGCAGGGAAGCATGTGAAGTAGGACGGTTTGATCAAATTGAAGTAGAGCAATAGGTCAAAATAAGGCCTCACAAAATCAAAGCTCTCTATACAATATGTGAAAACAAGGCAGATTTGATAAGGATAAAATGCGGCAGTTTTTCCCAGCCTCAGCTGCACATTAGAATCACCTGAAGAATTTTTGAAAATCCTGGTGTTCCGGCCAATTAAATCAGAGTCTCTGGGAGTAGGACCTTGGCATCTGTATTTTGTAAATGTCCTCAGATGATACCAGAATGCATCTGTCTCAGCCATTGTGGCCACAGTAGTGCTTCCTAACAAACCACTCCAGAATTCAGTAGCTCACAAGGCATTTATTCCCAAGCTCGTGGGTTTGCAGTTCAGCTATAATTTGGCTGAAGCTCTGCTTCAGGCTGTGGGTGGGTTGGGTTCATGTCTGCACCACATATATTTGGGGCTCAGTCCAAAGTGGGCAGCTACCTGGGATATGTTCTCATGGTACATCTCTGGAGTACAAAATGTGTACTTTTGGTACAAAAAAGAGTATTGCATAGCACATTTAAGGCTTTTGTTTACATCAAAGTCATTAATATGCCATTGGCCAAATAGCCTCACCTCCACAATCCACAAGGATGATGCACAGTTCCACAGTGGGAAGGTGAGGGGCATAACTGTAAACAATAATTACAATTGCCACAGTAACCAAGGGTGAGAATCACTGAAATAGAGGGTTGAGTGATTGGGCATCCTTTTGAAACTAAAGAGCAGAAGCATACTTGAGTGAGAGAGCTGGAGAGATGAGAGAGAGTGGTCAGAGAGTGAGTGACTATTATTTCAGAGAGCTATTTCAGGTGACTAAAAAAAACCAATACACAGTATGGTCATAGAAGTTAGATGGCTGAATTTTAGATACTACTGATGATTATGGAGGTGACAGGTCGAGGAGTTGAGGAGCTGGATGAGCCATCTACCTAGACGTTGAGATTGTCCAAAGGATAATACGATTTGGGATTAGAAGGAAGGAAGCAAACTCATGCTGAAGCTTTTTAATAAATGAAGCCAATAGATGGTTTGAAAGAGAAGCCTACGATGGGGTTTCTGTGGACGTATTAGATGAATGGGGGGTGGGGGGTGAAACAGATGTTTCCCTCGTCTTTACCTCGGACACTTCAAAATACTCATCCCTTACTCCATAGTGTCTCTGCTATACTGAGTTAGTGTCACTGGTTTTATTTGTCAGTATGGGTTCAGAAAAAAAAGAAAAACCTTAGAGTACATTATGACAAAAATGGAGGCATTTTTATAAGGGAGATAGGAGGAAGAAATCATCAAGAAGAGGCATTGAGAACTCCACTAATGATACATTCTAACCCTAGATGTGGAAGATGGTAGAAGAAAAACAGCATCTGTTATTGAGAGGCTATAGAGGAACTGTGTCTTTGGCCAAATTTCAGATAAAGTGAGATGTAGAAACATAAAGAGAAGAGATGGAGGATCTAGAGTGTTCTCCGTGTGGGAGGTTTGCTCACAGCAGTGGGACACGGAACAGTGGAGGGTGAGGATATGAGGAACAATGGGTGACCAGCTACAGAGATGAATCATCCTGGGTTTAGCAGCCAGAGATTTTCACAATAAAAAGCCATTTAGATAATGTTCGTGGAGCTTTTGAACATTATCCTCAGCACTTAACATATTTGATCTTACCTAATCACCACAGCAACCTAAAAGACAGGTGCAATTACTGTTCTCAGTTTACAGTTGAGAAAACGAGGTACAGAGTTGTTGAGCTGATACTTGAACCTGAGCAGTCTGACTCGAGTACCCATGCTGTTCATAATGCTAGATTTGGGTGGTGGGAGAATAGTTGTCAGCAGTTTATCTCTGAACTGTTTGTGGCTCATCAGATTAACATTTTAGAAAGACTGTTGTATGAAGCAGGGGTTTTCAAAATGTGGTCCCAGACCAGCATCGGCATCGTCGTCAGCTTCGCGGAACTTAGACATGCAGGTCATGGGCCACACCCAGACCTACTGAGTGTTTAACAAGCCCTCCAGGCGATTCTGGTGCACACTCAAGTGTGAGACACACAGGTCATGTATGAGAAATACCTGGTGTAGAGAATGGATTCCATTGGGGTGCTAATTGCAATAAACCAAGAGGCATGACTTGAAGTTGTAAGGAAAATGAAGATGCAATGGAGTAACCAGGTTCCAGAGATGTATGGGAGGAAAAATTGACAGGAATTTGTGAAGAATAATAGAAAATCGGAAATAGGTGGGGAGCTAGCAAGACAATAGCCCCCATTCCCAATTAAAAGCACTTAATATAATACCCAAGGTTTGCTGAGGTGGATGAGGTGCTATTCACTGAAGCAGTGAATGGAGAAAGAGGAGGAACAAAGATAATGAGTTTGGTTTGGGGCTAAGAAACATCCAGAGATTTTCACATTTCTTTTTTTACTACAAGTATTTAGGTAAGGCATGGAGAATTTGACATCCGAGAATCAAATGGGACAGAATAGCATAAGTTCCTGAGGTCTTACTTTGGGTTACAAATTATGCTATTGGAGTTTAACTTTTAATGAGGTTCTTCAGACTGGAAATCTACTGGGTAGTCTTGCTGCCCTCCTCTTCTTGTGAGAAGTTTGTGGGGGAGGTTAGGACATTAGCACCAGCACAACTTAAGGATGAATTTCTGGATTATCTTAGTTTTTGTTTAGGGAAATCTGTTACTTGCAGAATTGTTTAGAAAGTATTTCTCAGTAAGAGGTTATAAAGTTTCTGAAAGCATGGAATATATTACCTGAGCAGAATTTTAAAGTTATTTTATGTGAGCTTATAAGGTTAACTATTTTTTCTTCTTTACTATCCCTTTGTTCTTTGCGTTTATAGGGTAAAATATAAATAGTATGTAACCAGGCTTCATTTGTTCATAGATTATGTTCATTTATTATATTTGACTTGAAATCTACACCAGTGTGTGCATATGTCCTCTTCTGTGACTATCTGTCCTTCTTAAGCTTTAGTAATTATAATTTATTAATTATAAAGCGATATCAGAAACTAGATTGAGCAAATGTGTCCACTTGAAAGGGCTTTTCTCATAATATATATAGAAATAATTTTCATATTCTCTAGACTGTGATGACTTTTATGCAAATTTGATAGAAAAGCAAATGTTCTAGGCCAAGTTCTCAAAATTAAGTAGTTTTCAAGAAACGTAAAAACAGGATTAGTTGTTGGCATTTTAATGATTTATTTTTTTCTCCATTTATCTTTTGTAGTTGAGATTATTAACTTTTGTTTTTATTCTCATATTTATTCATGCATTGTAGTAATATGTTTCACTTTTTATTTACACAATTTGTTTTAAGTGATTTTGGAACTTAGTTTTTTTCCCTTAAATGTAATTGTTTTTAAGGAGCTTATGCTCTGTTAGGTACTCCTAAGCATTATTTTCTTAAAAGTTGGTTTTTGGGGGCTTTTAAAAATACACAGCTAATCCTTTTTATTTTTCTTCCAAAGCCTTTGTTTAGTACCAGTCACCCTTTTACTTTCCAATTGTTCTAAGGCTGACGTTGATGTGATAGTTGATCTTCGGCATAAAACAACGAGGTAAAGATTCATCAGTGCAAGACTATTTTGTAGTTTAAGATTGACTTGAGAGCAATTTAGTGTTTTGAAATTATACAAATAATTACTAACATGGATAGAAAAAGTTTATGCAGGCATGCTTTGGTTTTTTTTGTTTGGTATTATAGTGTTATAGAAGAGTGTCAGAGGATTGTCTTAGCATTACAGTAGTGACAAAATGGAAAGCAATTTCCAAAAGCAGCAAATTAATTTGGCTAGAGAGAAAAATTTTTATAAAAGTTTGTTGGTGATAAAGAACTCTCAAATTGCAAACCAGCGAATTTGTGATGGAAATTGTTTGGTTTTTTTTTAGTTTTTTTCCTTGATTATAAATAATACTTATTAATAAAAAAAAAGTATAACTTCATACTCCTATGTCTGATACTCTTAAGAACTAGATGCTTTTCGGAATTCAGAAATTTTTGGATTTTTAGAAAAGTATAATGTGAAACTGACCATTGTTTAACATCCCTAACAGGATCTGGGGCAGCTCTCTAAAATTAATCCAAGCACATTCTGTATATGATTATGTGTAACATAAATTAATTAGGTAATGCCTTATTGGTAGATACTGGGTTGCTTTCTATTTTTTCAATATTATAAACAGTTTTAATATTATAAGCATTTTTATATACACATTTATTTTTATGTATGGATAACCAGGTGGTGGTTAAAAGCTCAGGTTTGAAATCAGGTTCCATCATTTACTAGCTGCTGTTTTGAGTATTAAATAAGATAATTCACTCTTAGCAGTGTACCTAGAACATGGTAATTATTAATAAATGCTAACTATTATAGCAATAGTAATAATAGTTATTACTAAGCCAAGTTATTAAACACTTGGCTTCATAAAATGATTTCTAGAAATAGAATTGCTAGATGAAAGGGATGTGTTATTGGGACTTTGGGGGAAAATATTGTAAAGATAAGCCCTCCAACTTACCCTTTTTCTCTTTCCTTAGTCCAGAAGCATTGGAAATCCATGGATCATTTACATGGCTTGGACAAACACAATATAAACTTCAGTTGAAAAGCGAAGAGATTCACACTCTACAGCTGAAAGCATGCTTTGTCCATACAGGCGTTTATAACCTTGGAACTCCTCGGGTATTCGCCAAGTTATCGGACCAAGTCTCAGTGTTTGAAACAAGTCAGCAGAACTCCATGCCTGCCCTGATCATCATCAATAATGTGTGACACCTTGCAAAGTTGTACTGAAATCCACAAGAATCAGTTTTATTTTACTGAATGGGTTTTACAGCAGTATTTGAAATACCTGACTTGTTCTGGAGGTTGGTTTCGGATCACTGCAAAATACTTTGGACTTGTCAATTTGTTGACAATGCAGAGCACGTTGGACTGAGAATATTGATATTCTTTTTTTTAATATTTCTTTAAACCTGGTAATAATTTACATGTTCATGATACAGAATTTCAACATATCCATGCACCTTATTAAGCCCCCACCTTAAAAAACAATGTCTAAGTCTGCTGTTACAACTTATCAATGGTATATGAATATTAGGAGATGATTTTGAGGAAGGAAAGACCTTGTTGGCAAACACTCTGTTAAGCCATTAGCCTATAATAAATTCCTGCTTTACTGTGAAGTCCAATAGAGTGTTAAATACAAATTTTTCTGTCTTGCTTCACAATTCTCTAAAATCAGTTTTGAACTTCTGTTATAGAGTCATCATACTTCAGTATCTTGTGGTTCCTATGGCTTATATATAACTTTGTAAAAAGAACATTTTTTTTCTGATGCTCTGAATATAGTTTTGAAAGGAGTTTGACTCCCCCCCCAATTCATCTCAGCAGAGAGTGCACTATTTCACAGTATGAAATTTTTGTCATTTAAATTATCATATTCTTTATTATGTAACTTTAACAATTGAGTTGATCTGTTTAAAATATAAATCTCAAGTTAATTAAAAATAAGCTTTTCAAAAATGTATTATATTTATAACAAATGTACTGTAAATAGAATAAAGACATCCTATTCACTGTATAGATTTATTAGATGCCTTTCATTTTATTCTGAGGACCTAATATATTCTTTATTTAAAATGAATGCCGACTGTATTATGGCAAATACTAGACCTACTTCCTGAGAAAGCGTTAATGTTTTTGTTTCCAAAAGTGAAGTACAGTCTTTGTTCCTACAGTCCTTGGTGGCCTTGTTATAGACATGGTTGAATGAATATTATCTTTAAATGTGTCATGTCTGGTGCCCAGTTACAAATTTGGACTATCTTTTTATATTCTGGGAGAAAAGATCATGCTTATTGAACCTATTGTAAATAACCACATTGCAGACTCTGGTGCTGGTTACAGAAGACTAGGTAATTTAGCCTTTCTCCTGAAGGAAAATAAAAAGTCTGAACAAAATGGAAGAAAACATCTTACTGAAACCAAAGTGTTACCAATACAATCAGTTATTGGAGGACCAGAATCCAGAAGAAAGTTCAGAGATGAGACCCTCATTTGGAACGTCTTGGCCTTGGGAGTGTTTGTCCACGTGGGAAGAAGCAGCCGAGAGATAGAACCTTAACATTTGACATACTTTGAGTATAGATCAGGGAAATTAAACTGCAGCAAGGAGAGGAAAAGGATGAAAAATGGGCAAAAGAAAAAGATCAGAAACCTACTGGATTCAGTGAGAATGTCTTATCTGTTTGGAGTCCTAGAAAGAAGAGAGAGAAGATAGGACAAAAGCAGTATTTGAAGAGAATCTCAGAATTTTCCAAGATGGAAATCAAGTTATAGATTCAAGTAGTTCAGGAAATCCCAAACAACATAAATAAAAAGAAATTTATATCCAGATGCATCATAGTGAAACTGCTGGAAATTAAAGACAAAGGAGGAAACAATGTTGAATACAGGAGATATAACTTACTTGAATAGTAACAGTAATTCAACAAAACTCACTTCTCACAAAAGTAATGGAAGCCAGAAGATAGTGGAGTATCTTCAAAGGATTTAAAGAAACTAACTGCTAAGCCAAAATTCTGAACTCGGCATGAATACCTTTCAAGAATGGAAGTGAAACAGATACTTTCAGACAACTAAAACCAGAGTTTATTTCCAGGTGGCCTTAGGATAAGGGTGTCTGCCCAAATCGAAAATTTCCATTCGTTCTCCAAATAAATACACAAATCAACAAGAAGAGCAAGTGAAGCCACACCTAGCTCGTGCTTCTAGGTAACTATACTACTCACCTCAAATTACCTGTAAAGGGGAAATTCAACACTGAATTCCAGCTAGCTATCTCAAGCCCCTACTGCAAGCCTTTGTGGTAAGTGGGGGAGGGGAAGACAGGAATCCAGAAAGACTGGAGAGAAGGTAAGAGAACAGAGGAGTTAAGGGTGAGGTGAAGTCACTCAACAAAGAAAGTTGATCCTAAATGTAAAAGCACTCAACAAGAGACCTGGTAGATGAGCGCTCTGAAGATAGGCAAGGCATTTGAGGCTTTGCTGTGGGGCCTGGTAGGAACAGCAAGGAATAGGGACTATTCATTACACAGCTAAGGAAATGCCTGATAACAGAAATTACCTTATAAATCAGCTGCTTAGAAGACTATTGAGTATGCTGAGGCTTGTGCAGCCCAAATAACTTTAAATTGAAATTCTTCCATTGAAGATTCATACCTTTAGGCCTGATTTCCGGATGACAACATTAAAATGCAAATGCATGTAGGTACCCTAAGAACATACCCGAATCCATCTTTAAAATGTAAGATTTGTCAGGCAGCTTGTAAGAGCAAGGCTTTAAATGGAATGGGCCCAGGAACAGTGCCTGGAAGGGAGGTGAGGAGTGCTGGCAGGATAAGCAGGAATGGGGGATGGGTTGCTAAAGGGAAGTGCGAAGATGTTGAAGAAAAACTTGGCCCATTTCATGTTTCTCAGGATTAACCCTGTTCGATAATATTCCATTGTGTGTTCCCAGCATTCCTGGGCTGTAGTTTTTCACCTTAGGACAAAAGTTTGTATGTCATTTCTCCTACCCACCCCCCAGCCCCTGTGCTTATGGTTTGATTTTTAAGCTGTGATAGAAGAGTCAGCTTTACTAACCAACAGTTCTCAGTTCCTTACCTATTGGAATTAATTATGCTATACTTGGTGGTAAGAAGAGACGCATCTGAGAACTGGGTGCTTGTGAAAGGCAAAAATGAGTGTTCTTTTTTGCATGTTAATGCTATGTCTTAGTTCAATAAACATTCCACCAGGATGTAGTATATACAAGTCTTAAATCTTTTGAAGAATATTAGTATCTATGGATTAGAAAGTCTGGTTTCAAAATAACTTTAACTATTGTAGAAAAGGGACATTGAGCTGCACGAGAGACTACAGGGAATTTTAACGCAAAGCCCTGATGCAGATAGAGGAAGGGGAGGAAGGTGTTTCGAAGGGAGGTCTCTGATTGGAGGAGGAGGACAGGCTGTGGTGGGTGGGCGTGGCTGCCGAACCTGGCTCAGCCAAGCCTGGAGCAGGTGGGGCCCCAGCCTGTGGCATTTTGGGGCGGCTGCCACGGTTTGTTCCAGTAACCCTCCATGGGGCAGCTGCGCAGAAGTGAGGAGAGAGAAAAAGACTTGGTTTTACAGGCTCAAAAAGATTCAAGATACAAAACGTGGGCGCAGAGCAACTCTTGCTGAGAGCGGGACTCCTAGTCTGCGCACTTCTTTGCAATGCCTCTTATGCTTCTGGGTCTTACATGGGTCTCTGGCTTCTCCACTCCTGCCCTGCGGTTCAGGGTGTGTGCGGCAAGGTGGGGAGGAAGATCGCATCCAAGGACACTCGCTTCCTTCTTGGAAGTTTAGGGCCATGGGCTTGTAAAAAAAGCCTGAAGAGGAGAGAGGGGAGGCAGCACAGCGGAGTCCTGGAGTGTGTCCACCCACTCATGAGAATCCATTGTTAAATTTCCAGGAATCTTGTGAACCAGTTGGTAAACGCAGCCACTAATGAAAAACTGTTATATAAGGTTATAACTGAATACATGCTATTGAAAAGAAAGGGAATAAATACTCAAAATCCATCACTTCCTAAATATTTTACTATTACTTACTCTGCAAGAGTTATGTCTATTATATCTGTCAACGAAAAGAACCTGAGTCTTTGAAGGTATTAGGAGGAATTTTACTTATGGGCCTTGCTGAGGTATTAGGTGAAAAAGGAATTCCCTGACTAAACAAATTAGGGAAATAATGGAATTAAAATTATTAAAGAGGTTTCTTTATTGTTTGCGTGCATACATGGCGAGTTTCCGAAGCATTTGATTGGGACCAGCCCTTCCTAGCCAACGTATTTCTCAGAAACTAGTGATGTGCTCATAGACCAGAGCCTGGAAACTTTTTCTGCAAAATCGCAGATAGTATAAGATTTGCTACGCATACAGCCTCTTGCAAACTACTCAGCTCTTCTATTATACCATAAAAGCTGCCAAAGAATATGTAGATGAACAGGAGTCGCTGTTTTGGTAAATAAAAACCTGTTTCTGTAAATAAAGTTTTATTAGCTTTAACACTGAGTGACTGTTAGCATATCTTGGGAACCTGGACAAGATCACAGAATCAAGGAGAAAGGAGCACAGGCCGGAGGGGTGCCTCATTCCTTCCTTTCTAAGGCAGGCTTCAAAAAACCTAGCAAGTGATGCCTGAAACCAACTATATCCACTAGAGGGCGCCATGAGCGCAATTTATTATCAATGCCATCCATACAATTTGCCTTTAAAATGTTGAAATTAGAATTTTATTATGAGGTAGCACTTAGTGGAATTGGGATTAGCCTTAAACATTTTTTTATTAGCTACAGAGAATTAGAATGAGGCATGTTAATGATAATTTACCAGCCTAAGGTACTAAAGATATTAACCCAGGAAATACTTCATAATTAAAACTGTTGCTGACTTTTTAGTAGTCTTCACCTCATCTAGAGAACCAAGATGAATGCGTTTTCTTGAAAATTTTAATATTTTAAGACATTGTGAATATTTATTGATCAGAAAGTTCTTTAATTTGGCATAATGCAATCTAAAATGGAGGCTAAAATAGAAAATTGTTACATCAATAAAAACTGATAAAAGACGTGCGTGAGAATTCCTCCATCCCCACTTGTTGGCTGTGGACAAATCTCTTTGTTTCTTTATAACACAGGATCTTTTATAGTATATTTAAATGAGGTTTGGTTTTAAAGTGCTTGGAACATGGTTGGTGTCCAATACATACTAAATCGTGGCTAAATGACTAAATGATGAGTTGTTGAGCTACAAGTGGAGTTTCAATGTATCTGAAGAATTCCTCTTAGTGGCATATGATATTATTGAGCAAGATGACAAACCAAAAGGGCCCCCAGGCTGTCGTGGAGAACAGGGAAGCTTACCAGCTTGATTCAGTCATTTGGACAGCTTTCTGAAGCATCTCACAGTTACCCAAGTCAAAATCTGGGACTGTTTAGAAGAAGTCAGCATAAATAACATTTCAAATTTTAAAACAGAAGTTACAGTATTATAAACTAAAACATTGGTTTCAAAATCAACACCAGAATTGAGTATCAAGTGTAATGCTTAAACACTTAGTATTAGGTCTTTAAAGGAAGATTGTAATATTTTCTAAGTAATAAAGTAAGAGTCTGTGATTTGGGGCATATGAGTTGACATGTGGATAATAGACCAGAATCTCTGCAAACAAGACTGTCTTGGGAGATCTAGTGGGAGTCGTCCCTAAATCTGACTACTCAGGTTTAAATCCATGGCTTCACTCCTAATATGAGACCTTGGGAAAAAAAGTGACTTAACCACCCCTTAGTCTTCTCACCTGTGTGGTGTGGCTACAATAGTGCCCATCCCACTGGGTCACGGTGAGGAGCAAATGACTTAATTTCATAGATTTCTTAAGTTTAGTGACTGACAGGTGGTAAATAATAAATGTATTATTATTTTTTTAAGTTTTATGAAGAAAAATAGGGTAAATTTTTTAATGTTTCAATTACAGTTGACTCAATAAATCTAGTATTT